AATTATAACCACAATGTTGTAGAACTGATCTCCACAACTTTTTTGTCTTGCATAACTGAATCTTTATGCCCACTGAAGAGCAACTCTTCCTCTCTTGCTTCCCCAGCTGCTAACAATCACATTTCTACTTTCTGTTTCTATGGATTTTATTACTTTATATACCTCATCTTAATAGAATCCAAGGCTATTTCACTATAGAATACTTCAGAACACTCAGAACATATATAAGTAATAGTCATATGTAAGGTTATATTATTTACTGAGAGAAGCTAAATTCCTACCGGATCTGCCATTAATGGTTGGATAGTTTGTCATGCCGTAGTCATGAATACCAAGCTTGTATTAACACAAAAGAGTAAATAACTGTGAGATTTTAATATAAAATTTAAACTTTAAAATAAGTATTTTGAAATTATAGGTATCATAGTGTGGAGGAAAGGAAAACAGCTTTATAGTCAGACAGACACAAATTTGATTCCCAACTTTGGTTCTTACGTATTTGCACTCACCAACCCAAGTCATATATTGGATCTTTTTAAGCCTCATTTTTCTTTCTCTGAAAAATGTCTTTTGTAATTCCACTATTATGGAATTTAATAAAATTAAAAATAACATTGTGCCTTGTAAAGAGTGAAAATCCAATAAATCAACAAATTGTAGCTCTTTTATGATTACCAAAACTGAATGATTAAAATATAAGGTTGGTGAGTTCCACAAATAATGTGTTTCTATTACTACTTAGACTCTGCCTGGGCTAGGTCTTTGGTAAATAATATAAAGTAATACAAAAACTCTACTCTGTGATTAGAATCATGTTTCAACATGCTTTATGAGCTCTTTTTATATAGATTTTTGGTAATATGCTTTCAAAATTATTGGCAAATCTATTCTTTGTCTGTACTTCGAGCTGGATAATGGAAAATGATTTATACAGGTTTATTGAATTTACAAGGGTTGGAGTAAGCCACATTAATTATTGCTATGTCATTCTTGCAGGCTAGCAGGACCTGAGACAAAACATAAGCCAAACTAAATATAATTAGCATTAAAATGACTTAAGCATTAAAAATAATCGAAGTGGTCTTGAAATGTCTTATTCTTGTCAACAAAAGAAAATCATGCTTGTTTGCAAACATTCATTTTAATTGCCTTTCTCCCATTTTCTAAAATCTGAGAAGTATTTTAGTTCCCCTATCATACTTCTCAAATATTTTTTTATTATTGACATTACAACCTACACTGTCATAAATAATTAATCTGACTTTTAAAACTAGGTGATGAAATCTTACGGGACAAATGCCAGGTGCCCATTTCCCTAAAAAGTAATCATTTATTTTTTCTATCCAAATGTACATTATTCAATGTCAGTAAGTCTTCTGATCAGTTCATTCTCTTTAGAGTATAAATTTTTTCTTCTAAGCTTAGTAATTTTGGGTTGAATTTAAGGAACAAACTCACCAAAGAAAAAAAATGCTTTTACATGGGGATTCTATCCAGTTTCCGCTCAATAGACCTTGAATGAGCAGTACTAAATATTTACCTCGGACCCATAATGGTAAAAAAAAAAAAAAAGAGAGAGAGAGAGAGCTCAACAAATTAAAGGGTAGATAAAATGAAGAAATTCTAGAAAAATAGAATAAGAGAAAACTGAAAGTTTTGTAAGTAGAGCTATAGGGAAGGTGCTGCAATCATAAAGGACTTGGGGTATAGTCGATAATGATGGACAAGAATCAGGTTTCAGTTTGATGGACAAGACATCTACCCGTATAGTATGAGCTGAGGGATGCCAGTGAGGGAAAGCTAAGACTATATTCTCTGGATATCTCCTGGAAATCAATTCTTCCAATTCCAGTTATACTATGACAGTTCTCCCAGTGGATTTCTGTAAGTGGGACTCAAAGTCAGAATAAAAGAGCTACCTAGGCTGATTCCAGAAAATGTAGGTCTCTTTTAGTTGGATCAGGGCTGATGTTTAGCAGGTAGATACCCTTTGGCTCTATTAGCTGTAAATTTATTTTCACACTTTGTTGGTGTTTGATAAAAAGCTGGTGCCAGGATTACCCATGTGTCCCCTTTATAAGCCTACTCAGCTTCATCCCTGGTTACTTCTGAATTCCTGAAATCAGGCAAATGAAGTGGTGATATCTAGTACAACAGGACATTCCAGGATACTCCAGCATTATGTGTGGTATAACTTCCGATACATAGACACCTGTGCCAAAGCAGGTGTCAAATATTTGGGCTTTGATCCTTGGGGTGGGATATTAGCTGTGGACTTCAAAAAGAAAAGGGGCTTCAATGTTAATGAAAGTCTGAAATGGGCTCTTTGATGTGAGAATGGGACCAAAGGGTCCAAAGCAGAATTTTGTCTATTTTAAAATTTGTCTGAATTAAAACAGGTGTATCGATATAATTAAAATAAAGTTAAACTACAAGCATTTCTCCTTTCATGAGCTTAGGTTACAATTATACTAAAGAAAAAGAAACATTTATGATCTTTTCTTCTGTTGTGCTGGGACTGGCATTTACAAATAGATTATGAATTGCATTTTCTTTCTTTTTTTTTTTTTTTTTTTACTATTGTGGGCCAGTCGGTTTTTTATTTTTTATTTTTTTTAATTTTTTATTTTTTTTAAGATTATATTCATTTGCGAGAGAGAGAATGAGAGACAGAGAGCATGAGAGGGAGGAGGGTCAGAGGGAGAAGCAGACTCCCTGCCGAGCAGGGAGCCTGACATGGGACTCGATCCCGGGACTCCAGGATCATGACCTGAGCTGAAGGCAGTCGCTTAACCAACTGAGCCACCCAGGCGCCCCCCCCCCCTTTTTTTTAAGTAGTTCTTTTTTTTTTTTTTTTTAAGATTCTATTTATTTATTTAAGAGAGAATGAGATAGAGAGAGAGCATGAGAGGGGGGAGGGTCAGAGGGAGAAGCAGACTCCCCGCTGAGCAGGGAGCCTGACGTGGGACTCGATCCAGGGACTCCGGGATCATGACCTGAGCCGAAGGCAGTCACTTAACCAACTGAGCCACCCAGGCGCCCCAGGCCAGTCGGTTTTTTAAAAAAGTATTTCCCAACTCATCTCCTATCACTTCTGGATTGACAAAGTGAAAATCCAGGGCTCTAGCCATAGTTGAACTTGACGGGTTCTTTCATGACCAGATGCCTGGGCACATGCTGCCCCTTTTTCCTGGGATATCTGTCACCTTTTATTACATGAGTAATACCCCTGCAACCTTCAAGGTTCAGATCAGATGACATCCCTACCTCCAGTGCTCATTCTCTGCACTTGTGGTGTTTCACCTAATGTAGGCATCTACAAACATATGCCTAATGAATTATTTCAGACAAACTTCTAAAATTACTTCTATAAACACTTCAGACAAACTTACTTTTTTATTGTTATGTTAATCACCATACATTACATCATTAGTTTCTGATGTAGTGTTCCATGATTCATTGTTTGTGCATAACACCCAGTGCTCCATGCAGAATGTGCCCTCCTTAATACCCACCACCAGGCTAACCCATCCTCCCACCCCCCTCCCCTCTAGAACCCTCAGTTTGTTTCTCAGAGTCCATAGTCTCTCATGGTTCGTCAGACAAACTTTTAAAATTACTTTTATAAACATTAAAAAGGAGGAGAGAAACGTGTCTGGCTTTGTAATATATTCATCACATCTATTAAAAGAATATTCCTTCTGAAGTATTTTTTAAAACGATAATTATCTGAGTAAGAAATTAGACAGTCCTACCTTTTTATTTGAAATAGTAAGTTTCAAGTGATCTTGATCTTGAGATAAAAATCTTTTTGTCTTCCCAGTTGTTACTTTTTTGCATGTAATTGTCTAACGTTTTTATAGCTTTATTTGCACTTCTAGATAGTGTTGTATGAATACATATGCAGGTTCGAATTCTATGACTTGAATTAATCACTTCTCTTTTTTTTTTTTAAGATTGTATTTATTTATTTGACAGAGAGAGAATGAGAGAGCACATGAGAGGGGGGAGGGTCAGAGGGAGAAGCAGACTCCCTGCCGAGCAGGGAGCCCGATGCGGGACTCGATCCAGGGACTCCAGGATCATGACCTGAGCCCAAGGCAGTCGCTTAACCAACTGAGCCACCCAGGTGCCCCAGAATTAATCACTTCTTAAGAAAAATACAGATGTCCTTCTGGAGAATGCCATTACATTAATTATAATGCATTTCCTGATTGCATGAACATTGTTTCCCCTCCTAATACATAAAGTTTATAAACAAACCTATGAGATAGATTTTTCTGACATAAGGTCTCTTTTTACTTACCTCAAAATACTTTAAATTAATACAAATTTTGTGTAACATGGGATTCAAAGCCAGGCAGTGTGACTCTGGAGTCTGTCCAGCTAAGCTCTAGCTTATATTTCTGCATCAGACATGAAAGGGGGAGGAAACAATGATTGCAAGAGAAGTTTCCAGAGAGCAAAAGGAATTAGAACAGAGTTTTGAAGAATGAAAAAATTTGGATGTGTGTGACAGAGAAGGAAAAGGGAGGTAATCATGAGGAAAGGAGTTACAGGAATATAGAAAGAAAGTTAGGAAAATACAACATATATTCATAAGTAGTGCAGTTCAGTGAGATAGGAGTTTTTGTTCAGAATTGTGGGAAAGATAATACGTTCACAGTGCTTTGCTGGATATTATTTGGTACATTATACCATTACTGCTATTAAAATAAGATGCATCCTTAAACTCATTTTGACATATATTAATTTTAATATTGAAAATTATGTATTATTATATCTTAAATGTCAATGTTATTATTCTTCTGATACTTTCTTCTCACTGGCCCCACCCATTACAGTAAGACCATCATGTCGTGAATTTACTTGCTACTAGAAAAGAACACTTTTTAAAAGAATATATGCAGTTTGGACAAAAATAAAACCTTCTAGTAAACATTTTCTAGATAAGTATGGAAAATCAAAAAGTTGCAGTTCATACCACTGTTTCTTTTCAGGCAAACCAGTGATGATAGTGACAGAGTACATGGAAAATGGATCTTTAGATACATTTTTAAAGGTAGGTTTGAAATACATTTAATTATTCAAAGTGTTGTTTGTATGTTGACTATGATGTTGAAGTTGAAATTGAGCCACTTTAAAGCAGAACTTTTAAATCGATAGAAATATCTGGAGTCAGAATAGTTATACTTCAAAAAATAAAGTTTGGTTTAGAAATTGTCCTTTTCAGAAACTTAAACAAATCTAAATCGTATGTCCCTACAGTTTTATTTAAATGTTTGTTAATTTGCCTCCAAAAAGTGAAAGAAAGAGGGGATAAAGGAAGGGGGGAAAAAAAAGAAAAGAAGGACAGAAGGAAAGAAAAGGAAAGGGAGAAAAAAGAAGCTTTTTTACAAGAACCTAACTTTCTCAGAGTATATCATATCAGGCAGAGCAAGGAAAAAATGTCTAAAAGGTCCATGCAAATCATCTGTGTTGATGAAGGGGTCAGATAGGCTCATAACCCATCTGAGAGTCAGCCACTCTTGTACAAGAGGAATGGTCATGTAGTAATAGACAATATCACTAATGCTGTCAAATCTTCTGGGTTGCAGGAAAAGATTCTTTTTATGTGCAAGTGTCCAAATTTTAATTGTTGGTAACTCCCTGTATTACTAAATAGCTTGTGCCAGACAATGTAACATATTTGCAGGCCTGATTAAACCCATAGCCTGTTACTTCTTCACATTTCATGTGGCGACTACTACTATTGATTAGGCGAGGTGATAAGACAATGGCCTTTCTGAGGATTATTCCAGGGGCCTGTGCATTGATGACAGCAGTCTACTGACAAGGCCAAGTTTTCTTCTAATCTCCAGCCTCTACCAGATTTTGTTACCAAATATCTTATACATATCTTCAAGTTCTCTAGTCTCCTAAGGCCGTATCATTCCTATATTTCAAAATAATCATTAGTTGGGTCTTATGCTGTGTGTGTCTGTGCTAAGTCCAGCGCCCTTGACAAAGACAGCAAACTGCCAAGAAACACTAACGATGTCCTGGTCATTGCTCCGTCCTCTTCCTCCCATGTGCTCCTGAATAATCTCTTTTATCTCCTCCAGTCACTTCTTTTTTACCCCAATATGCCCATCCAGCTAGCTTATCTCAGAGCTCCTCAAAAAAGATACAGTGTTCATCTAAGGCAAGCACTAGGTTAGAGAGATGAACATACTAAACTAAACTGAGATTTTTGACAAGGGCTTTCAAAGCCTTGATCGGCTTTAACCAAGCAGAGGACTGATCCATATTACAAAGTTAATGATATATTTCATAACTTTTTTCCATTCTCCCTCAGATACAAATTGCATATGAAGTTGGTGAGAGTATTAATTTGGGGCTTGAAGACAGATCCTTTCAAATTTCCCCCAGTGATTGTTGTTGCTGGATTAATATTTCTGCATCATTTTAATAGAAAAATGACGGGCAATTCACCGTGATTCAGCTTGTTGGCATGCTGAGAGGCATTGCTGCAGGAATGAAGTACCTTTCCGACATGGGCTACGTGCATAGAGACCTTGCTGCCAGAAACATCTTAATCAACAGTAACCTTGTGTGCAAAGTGTCTGACTTTGGACTTTCCAGGGTGCTGGAAGATGATCCTGAGGCAGCCTACACCACGAGGGTAAGATCTAACAGATGCATTTCTGAAACACATGGGGCACAATAACTCATTTTTTTTCCTACAGATACTGAAAACAAAAACTTTGAGTTCAAAGTGAATACAACAATATAAAAATTATTCAGAGTTTTAAATGTAAAAGAGAAAGTTAAAGATTCTCCTATATTAAAAGCAATTAATATTATATATATATATATATGAATATATAAACATGTATAACATTATTGGGTAACTTAAACTCTCTGCACTATAGTGTCTTCATTTGTAAAACAAATACAGAAATATGTAAACCTACCTTTTAAGGACTCATATGATAGGAAATAAAAGAACTATTCCTTCAAAAAGTTTTGATTTACTGGAGGTATTTTAATGCCTAATTACTTGCCTGACATGCTATATTAACTGTTAAGCCCACATCTATGGAAAATTGGTCACTAACTCATGTTGTCATAATTAGCATAAATCAACATCCTTTTCCAGCAAAATAATTGCTTCCTGAAACGATATGGTATGTATCCGACAATTCTTTCTGTGGAAAACTGTGGGTATTGGTACAGCAGAATTTTCTGAGCAGTCTATGTGGTGTACCTTTTGAGTGTGAATCCCTTATGAGACACTGTATTTTTTTAATTCTAAATCTTTTCAATGTTAAGATAATATGAAGTTAGATATCCTTAATGTTTCAACTCCTTGTGAAGCTAGAAATATTTATTACTGTATCTTTTTCACTATAAGATTTGGTTTACTTTTGTTTCAATACAGAAGAACACTTCTGGCATCTCGCATTCTTAAGATAGATATATTCACATTTGCTTATTTAATTCAATTTAAAAAAAATGACTTCTACTCATGGTCTAACAAACTTTTCATAGATTATAAGGCTTTTTTGTTTTTGTTTTTTTCAGTGTTGCTTTGTGACTCATGGATGTTTAGGGACTGTACTATACTAAAAATCAAGAGTAACTTATATAAGCAAACAAAGCCTTCTAATGGTTGGCTTAATAAATCAATAAATTAATTGATGGGATATCCCTCTTCTTCTAGACCTAATTATCATGGTCATTATTTGCCTTAAATGAAACCTTAATTAAGAATTCTCTTAGGATTAAAGTTACACTTAATAAACTTAGCCTAAGCAAGAAGGAGGTTATAGAAAAATCCATTCCCAGTATGATTGGTTGATGTCTTAGTTAAATGCATAAAATAGATTTGTCAAGGTCTGTGTCAATGTATCATGCTGGGGAGGGGGGGAAAGAAAGGAGAGGGGAAGCAGAGTTCCCGAAACCTTCAAGACTTACTCCTCTGAAACGAGTCATGATAGCAGTTTGTGGGAAATCCTTATACTGAGAGATGAGAAGATAAGGGAACTTCAGATAATTGTGACGTCATATATTGTGGTCTGAGGACCAGAAGAAAAATTCTAGGCTGAAGTTTGAAGTAATCAGCAAACTACAATTTTAAGAAAAATAGTGATAATACGTTATAGATATCACAATGACACATAGCCATACCTAGTGATGTGAACTTACCTATGAATATTTAATTAACAAAAGTATGTATCAGGAAAGTCTTCTTAAAGTGGTGTTGCCATATGTATAAGGGACAAATAATTTAAACATAGTTTGAATAGTTCAAATTAACCCCAGCTCACAGAGCAACTTCAAGCATTACATCAAACTTTTATTTCCTCATGTCTTGAAACTTTGGTTCATAAAGAGCAACTGAAGTCCCACTTCTTCTAATGTATTAATTAAATTATACCCTCTCTGCAAAATGGGAAGGCAAAGGCTAATCTTAATCTTTTTTACAAGAAAATATTCAAAGCCTATGCCTTTCCCCCTTAAATATATTTTTGCCTGTGGATGAAATGTTTGGTTTCCTGGGGTTGCCTGCAGGATATAAAAGTGTTTATTTTGTGAACTAAGAGGAAACCTACCAAACCAATTTTTTTTTTTTACCACGTAAAAAACTCCAAACTTGATAATATCGTAAGTTTTTCCCCCGCAATCTAATTGCCATAATTTTTAATATGGTTAAATTAAATGAGAGACCTATCTCTTAAGTGAAAACAAAAACAGTCTGTAACAGAACAAACACAAAAATATGTTGGCAGAAAATAAGAGAAGTCAAGTCTAAAAGAAATTGCACAGTGACGGGGGAAAATATAACTATATGTGATTTTCACACTTGTCTTATTAACTGTTGAACCTCCCAGGGTTTCATTCAGCAATCAAGACTTCCCATTTATAACTCCTATGTTAAAGAAGGAAAAAACAAACAAACAAACAAACAAAAAAAAACGCCCTGGGAATTTGAGTCCTTTACTCTCTGTTAGAAAGTCATGAGTATACCTTATTGATTTGCTGGACTGCCCTCTTTCCCTTCTTCGAGCTGACATCCTGATACTATAATTGAGATGTGGGTCCTGTATGTGTCCCAGTAGTCAAACAGAATTTAAACCAGATTTTCTTCCGGACAGGCAATTAGTAGTCAGTCTACAAGTGCTTACGGGCTGAGATATGTGAAAAGGAGACTGCATGCTGTCAAAGAGATTCACTTAAAAATGCTACATCTCTTTCTAGATCTTTCCAGTGAGGCAGCAATATCCTGAGATTCATTTGAAGTATGTGGGAATTATTTTATTCTTTTTCAATTTTAGGGAGGCAAAATTCCAATCAGATGGACTGCCCCAGAAGCTATAGCTTTCCGAAAGTTTACCTCTGCCAGTGATGTCTGGAGCTATGGAATCGTGATGTGGGAGGTTGTGTCTTATGGGGAGAGACCCTACTGGGAGATGACCAATCAAGACGTAAGTACGGAACTACTCTCCCTCAAGTTTGGAATGAAATGCTTTGTTCTCTGAGTCAGAACACAGAAAATTTTTTATTTCTCACAATGACAGTTGCCTAAAAAAGTGAAATACTTTGCTTACCCTCTGATCGGTTTGGTTGTTGAAATAGCCTTTATGCAGAAATTCAAAATAAGTTAGTACAAAGGAAAGGAAGTTACTATTACATAAAATCTCAGTCCCTTGCCAGACAGTGTTAGCTGTACTACAGTGACGGTTCACTCATTTTATGTCAGTACCATTTTCAAAGATGAAGAACGAGCCATCAGAGAATGAATACTGACAGCCAAGTTTTTATGATTTGCATTTGATAAAGGCAGCTAATACTCTAAACCGAAAGGATGAATGATATTGATCTAATAGTGGATGCTCTTAGGGGATAAAAAATAATAATCTACATTTCTTTAAATTAAAAAAATGTATGAAGAATTGGATTGTCTCTTTAATTTAGGGAAAAACAGAGATTTGTTTTCTTATATAGAAAAATAATTCACACTTAGAATAATAGGATCCTGAAATTAAAGGAACTGTGAAAGAATCTTCTATTCAAGCTCAGAATGTTTATTATGTGATGCCTGACACATGGCTCTTTGGTCTTTGCTTTTGTAATTTTCCATTGTTAATATTCAATACAGTCCTTCCCATTTTGGATCACATTGAAATTTGATATTTTCCCTTCAGGTAACAACAACAACTATGAAAGCAGCTAACATTTCTTGAACCCTAACTATGTGCCACATACTGTCTTAAGTGTTTTATCAATTACCTCATTACTTCTTTCTAAAACCGGTATATGGAGCAGTCTTAACTCAACAGCATACTGATTTAAAACATTTATTTTTTTCCTCCAATTATTTCTTTCATCCATGCTCTGTAAAATCTCCCACTCCTATGCCTTTAGGGGTTATTAGACAGATACTACAGCTCTTCAGCTGCATTTTGTTGAAACAACAGTCCCATGCCAGTAATTAAGATTCAATTTCAGATATAAAAATTCAAGTCCAGTCTAAATCAAAGTCAATGCCATATCCATTTCAAAGTGGTTCCCACAACTACAGAGCCAGCCTGACCCTCACTACCTAGACTGAGAAGGAAGAATGGTCACGTTTTTGCTCCTCTTCCTCCTCTGTCAAAGTTTGTATCTAGATTTTTCAGAGGTGTCCTTGATGGTTATGTAGAAAAGAAAGGGCAAGATTGTTTTTATGTGAGTTTGCTGATGTCTCCTGTGAGTCAGATACCCGAACACTGGTTCTCTAGTGAGGTATGTGTCAGAACTCTTGAGCAGACCCCGGGGAAGGCCTTGCTTTGCGGTCACTAGAGGATGAGGATGCACTCAGAGTTCTCAGAGTTCCTCTCACTTGCCGCCTTCTCCCAACCTCACGGTCTCTCGCTGTATAGTACACGTGTATATTTCACCTGAGGGAAACTCCTTCTGGTGGGTTGCTCTGCTGTTGTCCCTTCTTTTGGACTATTATTGCAGACTGCTCCAGTCAGCCTGCCTTCGTCAAATTTCTCTGGGTGAGAAACCAGGATCACACTTCAGCTTTTCCAAGAGTTATTTCACAGCGTTCTTCTCTGATAGCAACAGTAAATTTGGCTTAATGCATTCCCACTTCTCAAAAAGCCTACAGCAAGGCAGCCAACCGCCCCTTTTTGTAGTTACCTCAAATTGCTACAATTGGTTTTCTTTGTGTCCCACTCACTTGGCCTTGGGAGGGGTTGCTGACTTATATTTCTCTAAATTTGGGAGAACATAGTATCTATTCTCTTTAACTTTATGATTTTAGGGCTAGAGCTATGGTAAAAAAAAAAAAAAGTATCACTGAACTCTTGTTATATATTTAACAGCTCATCAGAAAGATGCTATTATTATTCCTGTTTTGCAGTTAAGAAACGGAGCTTAGAGAATTTAAATGACTTAAGGTCACAAAAAATAATAAAAGTTACACCAGAAATTTCAACATGATTCTCTAAAATTTGTGTACCAAACTACCACACTGTCTCCGATTGAATCAATGTCTACTTCTTCCCTCTCATTTTCAACCAGTGATCCTGGGTCAGCCTTTTGAAAGAATAGAAAATATCCAACTCAATATATAATGATTACTCTGGATTTTTATAGTCTAAAGGAAGACCACACCTATTTGCTACTTACTATTCTCCAGATAGATACCAAATACTACCCTGAACTACAGCGTACTTCATAGTTTGGCTTCTAACTTTTCTCAAGGCTTATGTTAATGCCATTCTGTCCTTTAATTTTTGTGGAAGTATTTTATTGTGCCACGCCAGCAAGTTTAGTTTCTTCACTCAAGGAGAATCTTTGTCCCTTATCTGCCTAGTTAACTTCTTCTCAAACTTATGATATTTTGACTTCTCATTCTGTCACTCAGAATTATTAGCTATGTGTCTGATATGTGTCGCATTGTCATCTACATTATTGGCAATTGTACCTGATATAGTTGCAACTATCACAAATAAAATTATAGACCATAGTAGAACATGATGTTAGGTGAATGCTTATGAGTGTTTCTGTTGATCTTCACTGGGCGTGCTCATGTTCCTGGGGTTGGCTGGTCTCTACCGACACACATTGGCTAATCCATGTGGCCTTCATGTTCCTCTGGAGACCTGCAGACTAGCCTAGATGTGAACTCATCTGTCAAGTGAATGAAGGGCCAGAATGATCCCAGTTGTACCTCATTCGGTAACATATCTGCTAAAATCACATTAGCCAATCCCATAATCAGGAGATTGATCCAATCACACGGCCCATAGTGAATGGGCAATATAAAGTTATATGAAGAAGGACGTAGAAACAAGAAGGTACAAAGGATTTGGGACACATATGTTTTTCTGATTTCAACCATTTGAGAGTCTTGATATTCCATCAGATAACTTTATTTCAAACTATTTAGAAAAATAAAAGGGAGTGCTGATATAAATTCTCAGGAAATTGTAACAATAAAACCTAGTATTTTGGCTTTGGCTGGGTTGTCCAAGAATCTAAATAAGGTTTACAGGAAATGATTATACAATTGCAGATCTTCCTAAAATGTCTGATTTTAATAAAATGAACAATAAAAGCTATATATTTTCTCAGCAAGTTCACAATCTTTAGTGGGATTTAGTTTCTACATATAGCACTAAGTTTGATATCCTCAATTGCTATCCCAATTTGTATTCAAGAAACATGACAGATCTACTGTATTTGAAAATCATGATCACTGAATATTTCTTTGGGAACAAATTCTCAGAGAGCAAAATAGAAGTACTGATTTGGTGTTTTGAATGATATATCCCATAATCTCTACATTGCAGATACTATCTAATTCTAAAAAGGCTTTGCAACATGAAAATATGACATTACCAAACATGCAGAATATTCTAAATCTCTCAGAGGAGACCTTCCACTATGTCAAGGGGACAGAATGCTGCAGTTTCTTTTGATTTAGGATTGCTTCTGTCATCACAGAGAAAAAAAAATAACAACACATAATAAAAATAAACTAGAATGACTAAGATAATTTTAATACCAGACCATAAACTCCGATTCAAGCCTAGGAAGCTAAGATAATATCCTGAAGTCAGTAGAAGCTTCTTTATTTGATAGCAAATATTTTAAATGTCAACATTTTTCTGAACTTAAAATCAAAACCAAAATAAGAAGAGATTTAATTGCATTGCATTTTTATATTTAGTGACAGTGTCTTTCTCTTGTATTTATTGGGAAATGTATGAATATGTAGAATACACTAAGCATGTAGATTACAAAATGTTTTAAAAACTCATTTATCTTTCTCAATCTTCTCATGTTAGAATTATTTTTGTTCTTTTTTTTTTTTTTTTGACAGTCAGTTTTCTATTACTATTTCTGTTGGCCTAGATCTTACTCTAAGGCAGCAAGAACTTTTGACCCAAAAGGATGTCAACCTACTTTGTACTGGGTGTGCTTCTCATCCTCTTTCTATTCTTTGTTGTAATTTCTGATGGGACAAAAAAGATATCTATATACATCTTTTATTGCTGGACTATTTCATGGTAAAAGAATATTTTATGATAGCACATGGCATGTTATAATTAAAGTATGATGTTTATACCACATAGACAAGAAAATGATACAAATATGTTGTCTCCCTCATCCCCCAAGGAGAGCCAGTTGTTAAATATTTACCAGTACATCACTGAGTATGTGATGCTCCCACACATTCTTCACTTGGAAGACCATGCCTTCACTGAGTGATATGCTGTCTGGGATTCAGTGTTTGTGGATCAAGCATTGTAAAGCTTGTAATGCTGGCTGAGGCTCTGTGAGCAGCAAAAGCAAACTGTACCCAGAATGAGTATATATATCTGAAAGGACGAAACCACTGACCCTGACATGAAAAAACAGCCCAATAGAGTCAACTTGCCACAAGAGAATAGTGCCATATTGGGTACTCAGTATTGAAGTTTTATGTATTTCGAGAAGTAGCATTCTTAAAATTGTGTTCAGACTGCTAATTTACATGTCAGTGCCAAGAAAATGCATAGTTTAAAATAATATTCAGATCTAGGGACACCTGGGTAGCTCAGTCTGTTAAGTGTCTCCCTTGGCTCAGGTCATGATCCCAGGGTCCTGGGATCAAGCCCCACATCGGGCTCCTTGCTCAGTGGGGAGCCTGCTTCTCCCTCTGCCTGCCACTCCCCCTGCTTGTGTTCTCTCCCTCTCTCTGTGTGACAAATAAATAAAATCTTTAAAAAAAAATAATACTTCAGATGTAGCACATATGAACTCGTGCCAGATTGTCTGTAAGACTTCTGGTTGTCTTTTTCTTTTTTCTCTTTCTTCCCTTTGTCTATCTCAACCATCCACATTAACAAACGTAGTAGTAATAAGAAAGTCAATTGAGATTATGATTCATTTGGTTATACATTATAAACTGTATGATAAAATGAATAGCCTAAATTGCACTTTGATAGATTTCAAGCATTTCACAAACTACCAGAGTATGAATGCCATTCATTTCTCTCCCAAACTATGAAGGAAACAGTAGTTAAAAATGAAAAAAAAAAATTAATGTGTCTAAATATAAAATCTGAAGCTATAGTTTAAATATACTTGGAAGATAAATTCTAAAGATGAATTTAGAATTAAATTCAATGACCTAATTTCCTGGACCAAGTACTTAAGTTAACTTAGAGACATGGTATTATATTTCTGTATATAAATTTACCTGAAAATAAAACTGATTAATATATTCTGGAAATAATGTCTCAAATCAAATAACTTATGAAATTCCTGTAAAATTAATGACTTGGTTTAATTTATTCATTTCATAGTCACATATGAAGACTAGCTGCTCAGTGGAGGAAAGACAATATTTAAAAAAACATAGGTGCTAAATAAAAAATAGAGCTTATTGGTAGCAGCTTTGGGAAAAAATTCATTATGAAATAAATTAAGTTTAAAGTAAGTAAAAATCTCTGTTCTCACCGCATAGTGAAATATTTCATGACTTAAACTATATTAGGACATTTTATTTTGGTACATATATGTTATTAAAGATAATAGCCACTGACATCAGCAATAAGAAGTCTTATAATAAGTAAATTAATAGATATCATTTATAATGATTATAATAATTTATTATAAATATTTATTATAAATCATTTTAATCATTATAATACATCCATCAATATATAAGTTCAAATGATACTTTTTATTTTTTTATTTTTGTTCTTTTATTTGATTACCAATGAGAATAAATGTTTTCTCAAAATTTATTTAGGCTTTTTTTTTTCTTTTGGGAAGTTTTGGTTAGTATCTATTTCTCATGAATCTGTTGTTTTATCATTGTATTTTTCAGTATTTATGAACTTTTTAACATATTAGGTAGGCCAGTCATATATTATAGTTTTCATAACAGTTTCTACCATGGTTTACCTTTTACTTTTTTAATATTTTTTGAGTTAACTAGGGTGGTAGGTGACTCTCAGGAATTTCGCTCATAGTTATCCAGTTATTTATCTGACCATTTATTTTTGGAGTCCTGGAGTACTTTTTATTTCTCTGCCTGAACTTAACTATTTGTACTTCTCAGGAAGTTTTATTTTATGCCCTTCCCAGGGAGATATATACCACATCTGACTTCAAATTGTGACCAAGTGCTGATGACTCTCACCTTTACATTATCATCTCAAATATCCCCGGCACCCTAGCCAGATTCCTGCAAATTGCCATCTGGGTGTTCCCCACTCACCCCAAACAAAACAAGCCCCAAATTATACTTGTCAACATTCTTTACCCCCCATAAATGTGTTAACCTAAAGTAAAGAGCAACAGCTATCCAGTGTGAGAAGTCTGAACTTGCTTTATTTCGGATACGTTCCCTCCTCTCCCCTCTACCCTTATAACATAAATGTCCCCTAAATCTGCCATTTCATCTTCTTTCCATATGCCACTGCTTTTCTTCAGATGCCATTTCCTTTATCATTGAGAGACTGGTTTCTTTCCAATCTTTCAAAACTGTTTTTGTAAATTTCCTATTCTAATAACTGTATTTATATTTTTCCATTTGTCAAATCAAATCTAAAGTCTTTGTCAAAAAATGTAATTAGCTTTACTAGTTAAGGAAATATGCACAATAGGATTTTGAGAAATATGTTTATTATTATTGGCTTTAGTATCACTTAAATATTTAAATTTTCTAGAACTGAAACCTGTATTATGTTAAGAAGAAATCCATAAATGGATTTCTTCTGTAGTTAGACATTTTGATGACAGCAGCAACATTATAAATGTTTTTGATAAAACAATTTCACAATTAGACCAATACTCATATGTGTGGTTTTATTTAAAATCAATGATGTTTGTAATGCTATTTAAGCAGTCATTCCAAATTCCTGACAGAAATCAGTAGATGATAATAAACAGCCAGACTTTGACATTATTAAATGATACATGAGACAGTTATGCTAATTTAGCCTTTGACTTATCCATCATTTACCATCCAAAAGTCTCTTCTGAAGTAAAATTGCAGTTCTATTACTTTAAAAAATGTGTGTCTGCCCATAATTTTTCATTAAAAAGACATTAACTTTACAGAGAAATCACTAAAAAAATGTAATCCCTGTTTGATTCCAGAATGCAAAGATAAATAAAACATGAACATTATTCTTATGTCAATTTTACAAATCACCCTTCATCAAGATTTTATGTAAAAATGATTACCATTTATTTTCTTCATGGTATGTGAAGAAAACCTATCATTTTACATTGTGATAACGTATTTACTTTTTTATGTTGTTTTGCAGCAAATGGAAGTAATCAGAGATTTTAAAGATAATGATGCTGGTTATTACTGCAAGAGTAAGACTAAGAAAGGATGAACGTTGGATAGTAGGAAATTTCTCAGGCTACTCCGTACTAAATATGTGGTGTTGAGTATGGCTCTGTTCTGCTTTCCACAGGTGATTAAAGCAGTAGAGGAAGGCTACCGTCTGCCAAGCCCCATGGACTGCCCTGCTGCTCTCTATCAGTTAATGCTGGATTGCTGGCAGAAGGACCGAAATAGCAGGCCCAAGTTTGATGAGATCGTCAACATGTTGGATAAGCTGATACGTAACCCAAGTAGCTTGAAGACGCTGGTTAATGCATCCAGCAGGTATGAAGCCAGACTTGAGAGATTTTCCTAATGTAGTTAATTCACATTGATGCCATCAACATTAAACCAATAAAATCATTTTTTTAAGATTTTATTTATTTATTTGAGAGAGAAAGAATGAGACAGAGAGAGCATGAGAGGGAGGAGGGTCAGAGGGAGAAGCAGACTCCCCGCTGAGCAGGGAGCCTGACTTGGGACTCGATCCCAGGACTCCAGGATCATGACCTGAGCCGAAGGCAGTTGCTTAACCAACTGAGCCACCCAGGCGCCCAAACCAATAAAATCATTTTTATACACTTTAATCTATAGATCTATATGACACTAATTTATCTAAATACAGTTTTTGTATAATGTTACTCTCTTACAATAAAATATTATTATTAAATAATTTAAATAATTAAAAGCATCAATGCCTAATCTAACTGTAAATGCCAGTTTCAGTAAAATGTTTACTGTAGCCAAGTTTAGGTAACATAAAAAAAGTAAATGAGGGGCGCTGGGGTGGCACAGTTGGTTAAGCATCAGACTCCCTATGGGCTCAGGTAGTGAGTGATCTCAGGGTTGTGAGATAAAGCCCCATGTCAGGCTCCCTGTTGATCAGGGAGTCTGCTTGGGATTTTCTCTCCCTCTCCCTCTCCTTCTGCCTTTCCCACTTGTGCTCTCCCTCTCTCTCAAATAAATAAATAAATCTTTAAAAACACTTTTTTTTTAAAAAGCTCAAATGTATGTATTTTGATGTGTTTTGGATCTCACATAGGTGTGTATGGGGCAAAATAAGATTGTAAGATCATATGGAAAAGCCAAATAAGCACTGTTATATTATAAACCAGATATATCTAACAATAATTACTCTTTGATTTCTTTATAACAGATTTTAGTGTCTGTCATGTTTTATGAACAGTGACAGCTCCTTTAGAGATTCTTTGCTCTTATTTGGTTGTACACAGATATTTGGCTAATCATCCTCCTACTGTGAAGTTGGAACAAGACTTAAAGCTGATAAATGAGTAATTTGTGGAAAAAATTGGTATGAACAAATGAACATTTTAAAAAGTTTTCTGAATGTACATGAATACATTTAAATAATTCTGCATATTTGTAAAACATACTTTTCTCTTTAACCTGATTAATTACAGAATTATCCTCTCAGAAAAAAAAAAAAAAACAACAGTTTGATTCTGTACTTTAAAAAAAATTGCCAGATTGTTATTTTCACTATATTTGAGGAAGTTTTTTATTTTTACAAGAAGTGTAACCAAATTGGCTGCCTATTAGTGTGAACTAAATGAGAAATAATTTGTTGATAAAGTTACATAAGTCCTATGATTCCGACATAACATTTGTTTACTAGGCAAAAAGTCATTTTTAAATACAAATGAGGAATGAATCTTCGACTTCTGTTCAAGCATCATTAACTTTCTGTAGTAGCAACTGGAGAATTTATCTTCTTAGCGATTATTCCTTATGTTGTTCCTGAAATATCTACTTTTAAATTATTTATCGTCATGTAAAATATTAAGCATTTCTTTCATCTACTTGTTTGAATTACGTTAAGTTGTCACAAATGGACCTAAAGAAAGGAAATCATAAAACAACATTTGATGTTCTAAATTGCATTAGTTTATATTGCTATCATTATAGATTCAGAGCAGTTTAAGAATCTCCAAAAAAATTCATATTTTTTTGTGTGCAATATATAGAAGGAGCTAGGTAAGTTTTATTTATTTATTTATTTATTTATTTATTTATTTATTTATTTATTTATGACTTTATTTATTTATTTGACAGAGAGATAGAGAGAGAGCACAAGTACGCAGAGTGGCAGGCAGAGGGAGAGGGAGAAGCAGGCTCTCCGCTGAGCAGGGAGCCAGATGTGGGGCTCTATCCCAGGACCCCAGGATAATGACCTGAGCTGAAGGCAGCTGCTTAACTGACTGAGCCTCCCAGGTGCCCCTTCATTTAAACAGATTTGGCTTAAGACTGTACCATTCACTAGCCATCTTTTTTCAGGCATCTACAAATCTTAATTCCAAAAGGTGTTAGTCCCTGATCATTGTCTTTTCCTTTATTCCCACCCATGTCACAAAACTTGGTGATTTCAGTAACCATGTAGATGATGTTTGAATATCTCTCAGTACATTGAAATATTCTTCTTCAATGATTTTGGTCTCTGTCCTACCTTGAACTCTCCTTCTCATAGTCATGTTCTAGAATTTGTTATTACCTAAAATTGGCAACTCTTCCGTAATTTCAACTTCAAGATCCTACTCTCCAAATATTTCTTCCTATATTTCTATCTTCATCAAATCTTTGACTCCCACTGCTTAAAGGCTACCAGTTACAAGGAATCCATTTATTCATCCAGATAGTCATGTGTCCACATTGTGTCATGCTATGGGCTAGGTGCTGATTATACAGCTTTAAGCAACACACTACTGGAGGAGAGAGATATTGAACAAAATAAAAACATTAAAAAACAACTTTGGTTTTGCAGTAGAGAGTAAGAATAGAACTTAGGAGGATAACTCAGAGGCTAGACTAGTTGTGCAGGTAAGACATGATGATGTCTTGCACTAAAGTGGCAATAAATGAGATAGAGAAGAGTGGTCAGATGTGCAATATATTGGAGGTAAAATGGAGAGTACACACAATGATAGATTGTGAGGGGATTGAGGACAAGGAAGGAGTGAACTGTTGGATCATATCCTGGAGTAGGGTGGACTTCAGGAGGAATTGGATGTGAAAAAGATGAGAAGTGTGGTTTCAGACATGTTGAGGTGATATTCCTATGAGAAATATGGAGGTGTGAAGTAGCTGTATGAATATATGAGAAACCTAGGCTGGAGGTAAAAATTGAAGGAAAATAGATGCTACTTGAAGCATAAAAGTGGGTAAAATTGCCTATAATGGAATTCTGGCCTGAGCAGAGAAGATATAGGGCCAAGTCCTAGGTCCCTCCAAATTTTAAAGTCAGGAGGAGTAGCAGGCAAAAGGAGATTGAAGAGAAGTCAAGGAATATTCAATATCATAGTAGCCAAGGAAGAGAGAGAATTATTCAAAAAAGGTTGAGACAAGGTAGGATTCCAAAAGGGTGGTGGCAGTGGTGGATGTTGAAAATTTCTGAGAAGTCAATCATTTTAAAGATTGGAAATGTCCACCAATTTTGGCAAAATAGAAATCATTGCTCAACTCAATGAGAGCAATTTTTATGCAATTGATTTGGAAGAAAATACACTGGAGTAGGTTGAAGTGTAAATGGAGTGTGAGAAAGTGCAGAGACCATGAGTAGAAAGGTATTTGTCCTATATCTTATGGTTGAAATTTACTTAGGCAAACCCCCCACTGATGGACATTTAAATTGATTTAATGTTTATTCCCACTTACAAAAAATTGTACAAGTACTCTTTGTCATTTTCCTCATTATTTCCTTAGGATACATTTCCAGAAATAGTTCTCATCATCATATCATTATTATTATTGGCCAAAACTATGAGTTTAGTACAGTTAAGAGCATCTCATGGGTTGATTGATCCTATTCTGTTTTCTCATGTATTTGCGGTGACATTTTGTTTTCCAAGTTCTATTACTCCTGGGGTAAATTAACAAATACGCTTATGTAAGAGCATAAAATAAAGGATAAATAACTTCTTAACTTCCTGGGAAATTAGCTTAAATGTGCTTGAGTTTCTCTAGCAAAGTCTAGGAGCAACTGCCTTTGCACAAATTGGTCTTCATATCTAATCTTGGTAGCATTTCCTCTATTATTTTTACAAACAAAAAACAATAATAGGAAGTAAATTCATCTAAATCACCACATGGAACTTTTAGCTAATGTTTCATATCACAGATTATTACTTATTAAATAATAAGATTATTTATTAAGCCATTATAAGTTTTCATTGACTATGTGTAGAAAAAAATCTGAATTTTGTGTTCTATATTTTGAATAACTTTCTTCCATGTTAGTATTAGTATATATTTCCCCTATAAATATAAACCAGAAAATCCACTGATTGTGTGCTAACATTACAATTTGTTATAAAAGAGTTAAAGTGTTACTCGTAATATTGCTATTCTCTGTGTTTTAGGGTATCTAATTTGTTGGCAGAACATGGCCCACCGGGATCTGGGGCCTACAGATCAGTAGGTGAATGGCTAGAAGCAATCAAAATGGGCCGGTATACAGAGATTTTCATGGAAAATGGATACAGTTCAATGGACGCTGTGGCTCAGGTGACCTTGGAGTGAGTAATTTTTCTGATAATTTTTACATAATTGCTCGGGCGAGAAAAATTGTTTGGAATCCAATCTGGATGAGGTCAAGGGAAATCAGTTAACCTTTGTCCATGTGTGACAGCTTTCAAAGAAGCCCCTTCTTTTTTAGCCCATACTGTTAACGACTGCATGGTTAATGCTACTTGTGGCCAGTATCGTTGCTTCTTTGCTTCAGACAAACAGCACTTGAATATTGGAATAATTGGAGTAACAGTTCCTTGCTAAAATACTGGCATTTTGTGTTGTGGAAAAGATGTTTTCTTGACAAAGTTTTTATACTGGTACCTATGTTATATGAATGTAATTACAAAACAAACTGTAAGCACAATTGGTGTGGCTAGTCCTACATAACGACAAAACACATTCTTAAATTTTGGCTATAATGAATACCCGGGCAGCAACAGCTTAAACAAAGCTTCCCAGGCAGGAATCTCATTTAACCTCTAACTGGTGCACCTTATATTCTTGCAATACAAGGATATATTAGATTCTGCCTCTGATTTGTTATTTGGTACAATCTCAGTGAAACCAATTGTGCCCTTTTCTGTTTGCACGTTTAAGATAACGTTTATCAAATCTTATTAAATAAAATCCACTAGAGTTAAATATTAAATTCTTTAAGGTTGTAAGTTGTTTGTATTTTATTATATACTCTGTATGTATAATTATTTTAGCCTAATATTTGTTATTTGTGAAAATTAACTGTTGTTATGGTGGTTCCATCTAGCTTACATGAACATGAATAATGTTTTAACCTGCGAATATAATAATAACTTACTTTAAATTACCTATAAATTCAAAGGTTAAAATATTGGTGTGAGGATTAGAACATGGTAGAACATCCTAAAGCACTAAACCACGATCCTTATTCCATTACTTCTCATAATATGAACATTGAGCAGTTGTCTCTCACCATTTCTAGTCTGACATTCTTTGCTTCATTGAATTCACTGCCCATCCACACAAATGGTAACAGGGTACCATCATTCGTCACCAGATAATGTCACATTCTCAGCCTTTCTCTTCCTCATATCTGTAACTACTGGACCTAAACTCATTACTCAGCATGCTCTCTCAATTTGCTGAATCTCATCCTTACCATCACCTCCAAATTATATCTATTTGATGACACATATGCTTTGCCCATTATTTCTTTGGATGCTCAAAGAACTCATTTGTGCTATATTTAAAATAGTAAACAGAAAATTTTGCTGATAATTTAAAACTATTTTTACATGATTGTTATTTAATTTTTCAGTAAAAATGGTCATTTTAATTTATTAAAGTCATTTGTCATTTTATATTAAAATGATACTGTAGGTATTTCTTCTACCCAATGTCAGATTACTTGTAAATATATAATAAAATTATTTGCTTTAAGTGGTGTCTCTTTTTTATTAAAATAGCACATATACATATATATATATATATATATATATATATATATATATATATATATAATCATCCACTATCTTTTTGCCTCTCCCCTCACAGAATAATTTTAATCACAAATAATGGTTTTTGCATTACTACCTCTCTTTTACTTTATCTCTTTGGGGCCCCAAACGGTGAATATTTTAACGTTGTATTTTAGCGTTTCATTTTTTATTGCTTTTAATTATTTTTTCTTGACTTACTTGTCGACTCCTCTCTTCCCAAACTCTTCGTTTTGTATGTTTTCTTTCAAGACTTAATAGCCTTCTACCATCGTCTAATTATGGTTCTCCACCCCATTTCTATTCTCTAGTAGTTTTTGTCTGATCAGTTTTTCTCTACTTGGTTCAGCTTTTTCTCTTTGTCTCTATTACTTTGGTATCCTGTTGCCTCTTGCCATATTGCGTCCTTTCAGATACTTTGATATTTACCTTAACCAGAAGAGTAAAGTGAAATTAGGAGACTCGTTAACATCTTCATGTTCAGAGATGTTGGTCTCCATGCGTCAGTTGCTTCAGATTTCTGGGCAGATAATTACCCATTCCTTACTAGGAACTGAGCCAGCAAACCTCAAATCCAGTGAAGTTGATTTCCAGCACCTTTAAATACATGTCCTCTTGTTTATTGTTCTTTTTACCACATTTTTCCGATTTTATAAGAATATATTTATCAAAATATCATTTAAATAACTCACAGAACAATGAGTAATCAGTTACTTGTTTGGTCAGGAATATAAGAAAAAGGTTATCTGTGCATTTTCCTTGCCTTTAACCAAAAAAATTATTAAAGACACATGGCAAAGGAGCTGGGATATGAGCAAAGACAAAGACAAGCTCTTAAACATTTAAATAATGATTTTTTACACATGGTCTTTACCCAATATCTAAATACTAATTTTATGGAGCCTGCATAATGCTATAATAAAATAATAAAATATTATTATCAGTGTTATTGCCAAGGCATAATAGAAACTGAGAACTGGAAACATACCTGTGATAAATGCTTAGGTGGGGGAAAAAGATAGGATCAATTACTAAAAGGCAAGAGATCAAATTGCCATATACTTTAACTAGAATATTATGTTAGAATTTATGCCTTCAAATTTGTTCTCATAGTGAGCTTAGAAAAAGGAATAAAAAATATTACAATTTTTCAGAACTGCATACTTTGATAAAAATTCTCCTTCAATATAGTTTTAATTTTGTTTGTGATTTCCTCTTTCTTTCTTCTTTTCTTTCTTCCTTTCCTTCCTTCCTTCTTTCCTTCTTTTTTCTTTTCTTTCTTTCTTCTTTCTTTCTTTTTCTCTCCCCCTTTTTTTTTTTTTGCCAGCACATGTATATATGGCTTAATGTGGAAAGGAAATGAAAAACTTAATCTAAGAGTTAAAATGTGTTCAGCAATATGGTTTTCAAACTTAAGTGTTTCTGTCTGCCATTCTCTGTACCTAAACCTTGCTATTCTGTGTACAATACACAGAACAATTATGGCAGTAATCTGTACTATGGTGTGTAAATGCAGTGAGTTGTGGTTGACAGGGGAAATTGTAAGCTTGCGGTGAGTTGCAAATTGAATCCAAAGATCTGTAATAAGGACAGTATTACAACCGCTTTTTAAACTTATTGTTAGACCAATACTGTCAACTTTTGATTATTCAGAAGATGAGTGAAATCCAATGAATTTAAATATTTTGCCAATTGTGTATAAGCTGAAGAGATTTATGTTAGTATCATTATTTAAAATGGGGTCTTAAACTACTAAAATGGAAGTTTTACAAATCTAGGTCTAAAATGTATGCACGCTAATTCAAGTAGATTTCTTAAAGTATCAATAAAGACATTATGCATAATTTACTATATACCTAAAATACACACAGGAGTACTTACTCTTGTCTGCATTCCACATAATTAAGCTAACGTTTCTAGTCTAGTTCATAGTCTCACTATGTCTCACTCACTGAAAACCATGACCAATCATGGTTAATCTTTGCCAAATGTAGATATATTTATCTTGTGCAGTAGATCTATAAATGATTGTCAGGATTCTTCTAAAGGAACCAAAAAATTTCAAACCTACAAATGCATGATCAAATTATGACAAAAATATACACACTGAAACTTAATGAATATTTATTAATCTCTCTTCTCCCTTCTCCTATCCAGCCAGTGTTGGTAGAGTAAATACCGATGATATGGCTAAAAAGTGTGTAAAGCAGAAGGGAGAAGAAGTGAGGGAATGACTTATCCATAAACGGATGAACTAAATCCTGAATAATCAAGAATTGCTCCAACATCAACTAGACACCTCTTGTTATTCCCTATTTTTCATTCTGCCATTTTAGTATCATAATATCACTGTTTTCCATTGTTTAATGTTATGGAGTAACATTTGAAAATATGCTGAAATGTAATTACATCAATGGCAATTCATTATATTCGCAGCTTTTCTAAAACTAATCGTGCTTTGTTGACAAAAGCCAAGTTATTTTTGTGTAACAATACTCTTCTTATCATGTTTAAATTCATAAGCCTCTGTTGAAATATAGTTCATCATCATTAGAATTGGCTTTGGGTATTACTTAAGATTACACATGGTCATGATACATTAAATATAATATTTATAAAGGGGATACATTTAAAATTTTACCTAGCTATAAAATTTCCTATATAGAAAAATAAAAAGAGTAAACAGCATATCTTGCATCATTTTGAAAAATTTTTTGTAAGTAGAGCAGTAACTTCATCATTAAATATAAAATACTTTAATTTTTATCAAATTTTTCTCACTTTATTACTGCTAAGTTGACAATTTAATATATACTTTAAAGAGTAAAATGGCAATTCTTAGAAATCATGAAAGTATAAGACAAGCTACTTAAAATACTTTAATGCATTTATCAATATTGGAATAAAATTATTTAACCTTTTCTAGAAATGTTTTTCTGATACTATTTTAATTGTCATTTGTAATATAATTAGAGAAATATTAAACAGGATTTTTTAGGAAACTTCTTTGCTGCTGAGAACAATTTTAACTTGCAGAAATGATCTTATTTCTCTGTAACCTTTTCACTGAAAATCACATTGCATAAAGGTATATGTACATTGTATGCATTATAATCATGCTATTTTCTAAATCTCTGCACATTAATTTGACAGCTTTTGAAATGACAAGTCAGATTTTAAAAACATCAGCATTCCATTAAAAACACACATAATTTATGGCAAAATATAAAATGCAATGCTGTGTTTTTATAACTCCATTTATTCCATGGAAAGAGGGATGGGGAGGAGGTGGGATGGATGGAGAGAGAATTTCCATAGTCTGACCTTCCATGTGCATCTTAGGGGACAATCAAATCATAAGTTGACCATGAAATAAAATCTTATATTTGACTGGGAGAATTTCAACAAATTTAACTTAAAATCTAGATATATGGAATGTTCGGAAGAAAGAAAGATTTTATTTGCCTGTAAACACAAGCTCTATAACTGCATTTACTAATCAGATACAACTCCTCAAAACATCTGTTCTTTAACATGACATAGATGCCATTAAAAAATTTAAATTTCCAAAGCACTGAACCAGTCTTTCTTGTGGTCAAGATATTTTGAGAGAATGAAGTCATATTTACATATACTATAACAACAAGTTAAAACAGTGGAAATAAAAATAAGTTAAACCAGTGGTTTAATATCAGTGAGACAACCAAGTGTTCTAATGTGTAGCACATGCAGGCGCACACACACCCCACACCCCCCACCAAACACACACACACATGCACACACTTCAAATTAAGGTTTTGGTATTGTGTATTCAAAATCCATGCTGTTTCAGTGAGAAACCTATAATTTCTTTCTCAGGTCTTTCAGAGTAAGTTGTAATGATTATTTTCAAAAGCTCATTCCTAATAATTGGATTAGTCATATGATTGTGCAATTTAAGTACATATATATAACATTAGGACTTTAGAACTTGGATTCTGTGTTTATAAAGCATATGATAAAACATCTGTTTTAAAACTTCGTTTTAATTACTAATTATTTAAATTCTCTAGCTGAGAATGATTATTTTCAGGTTAAGAAATTTTAGTCCCTATCACCTGACTTAGGTCCAAAGTATGCTAGTGAGCACACATGAATACCCACATCTACACAGTTCTTCATGATTCATAAATTGTAGAAACATGAGAATATTAATTAGCTCATAACTGAAATTGCTATGAAGTATAGATTGGGTTACCATAGCCTCAAAGAAGTATGTGTTCGTTTCCACCATTAAATATCTTCCTTCTTTTAGAATTTTTGATATTTGATGTTATCACTACAGAATTCTCATTTTACAGATGAATAAATAATTGTATGTAATTTGAAGTACTTTGCTCAAAATCATATCTCAGAGTAATGAGAAATTAAGAGTATGGACTTTGACATCAGGTTCCTGGTTTAGTATTAACCTGCTACCCACTAGCTGTGTTATCTAACCAAGTGATTTAAATTCTCTAAGCCTTCATTTTCCCATCCATGAATGATTAACAAAAATCTATGTCATAGACTTATGTATTTTCCTAGCAGATAGGAAGAGGAAATCTTAATTTTCACCTATTATTTTTATATTAGTGCAATGTTTGTCAACTGAGGGAGATTTTGCTATTCAGGGGACATATGGCAAACATTTTGTCTTGTCACAACAAAGGGTCAACTGTGGTGCCATGCTTTTGGTATTTGGTGGGTAGAGGCCAGGGATGCTGTTAGATATTCTATAATGCACAGAGTAGCCCCTACAACAAAGATTTATCCAGCCCATAATGTGAACAGGGGCAAAGCTAAGAAACTGTAATGCAGTAGAAAAGAGAAAAAAAAAAATTAAACTCAAGCTTCTTTTATCCCGATGCTAGTCAACAACTAGCTATTTTATAGTCTATTGCATAACTAACAGTAGTCATTTTGTTTCAAAATGAATTTTTACTGTTTTCTTTTAATTTTTGCTGATGATTATCTTCCATGACTACCTTATAGATCGATTGATAGATATAGATATAGATATAGATATAGATTATTTTGTACTCTGGTGTCTTGTAGTTTTAATACCCTCTAATGTTTAATATTCACATTCTAAGAAAGAAAGAACTATGTTTCCACCCTAAGTATAAATTGCTTCTTTTTTTAGCTACTTGCCATTTGCTAAAACTCCCCTAAAAAATCAAGAAAACATAAAAGGAAAAGGAAACCTAAGATATTATTTAAATAAGCAATTATTTCCAATGCTAATATATATAGAACCTAAGTACACATTTTTAAAATTTCTATTCTCTGATACTCTCTTGAGATTTACATGTTTCCAAAGCTATCAAATTTGACATATAATGATTCTAATGTCATTGTATCCAATTCTAAAGAATTCTAAGATACTCTGAAGGCAAAAATATCCTTTGAGTATAATGTATTCAGTAAAGCAATTATCTAAAGAATCTAACACGGCAAACAGTTTTGTCACTTAAAAATCTTGATTTGTTATTTTTTCCTATAATTAATGTTATCACTTGCCAAACATACCTGAATAATTTTATTTGCCAAATATATATTCTAGGAGTATAGAATTTCCGAATATCCTATGAAATAATAATTAAGAACAATGGATTTTGACTTCGAGCTCTATAATATGCTGTTAGTTTAGAAATCTAAACATTTATAATTTTCTTTTGAATAATAAGCTTGTTTAAAAGAAACAGTAGAAATATATCTTGGTTGAAAAGACTTTCTGAGAGTGTGTAATCTTCAGAATGCTCTAAATGCCTCAAGAGCCTAGATATTATTTGGTAAAGGAAGAAAGCTCTGGTACTTTGGGTTCCAAGTAAAAAATAAAATATTTGAAAGTGTTGTAAGAGCAATGTAGTGAAAATTATCCCATAAAGATATCTGTTGTATAAAATGATTGTACTGACTGAGTCCTTTGAAGATTTTGGTCTTCAGCTGCTTAACTGTAAAATTTTAAAAGTATATTTTATGCTTCTTTTAGCAAAAAAAGAAAAAAAAATTGTTGTTCCTATTGTAGGTCCATATTTTCAAAATTGTTCAATGAAATTGTACCTTTAATTTAAATATGTTACTGGTAAGCATGTGCAAATTTTTTTCCACCACTCTGTGCCACCAAAATAATGAAGCCTAAAAAGGGGGGCAAATATACATTATAGCACCCCTTATTATTATAAGTTAAATGTTTGCCTGCAAACAGATTTTCAAGGTACAATTTGGGAGCCTGCCTTTGAAAATTGGACCCCATATGTCTAAATTGGGACTGTAATCTAATTAGTTTGTGCAGAATGTTTGTGTCTTTGCCAGAGTGAAATATTGAGGCGTGCTACCAATTGAATCAATACATACATCCAATGTGTGCTTTCTTCATGCAGGGATTTGAGACGGCTTGGAGTGACTCTTGTCGGTCACCAGAAGAAGATCATGAACAGCCTTCAAGAAATGAAGGTGCAGCTGGTAAATGGGATGGTGCCATTGTAACTTCATTTCAATGTCACTTCATCAAGTGAATGATTCTGCACTTTGTAAACAAGCCCTGAGATTTATTTTAACAACAACAACAAAAAAAAAATATGGGGGGGGGGAGGGAACACTCAGTGATTTCTAAACCTTAGGAGAGCATTTGTTTCAGCCACAGAATTTGTAATCAGTGTTTTGCTAAAATCTCCTTATCTTCCTCAGTGTCTTCATTTTTCATGAAGCAAATATAACCTGCATGGAATAAAAACCTGAGGTTAAACATTATCTTACGTTGCAACAAGAAAATCCTTTCCACTACTTCTACAAAATTTTATAAATGAAAATTATAACTATATATAGCACCTTTACAGACTGAATTAAGGCAGCCCCTTTCAAAACTTCCAAGAATCTACTTGAAAGGAAAAGTTTATAGCCATTTGTGGGCTAACAGAAGCTGCAATTTACTGAAGTTTACTTCAAGTCTTAAATGTCTACATAAGTGTATTGAAGAGCAATATGATTAGGTAATTTCTTAACAGATACCTTCTTTTGTAATTTAAAATGCGTCTAAGTTATAGACTCTAGTGTATAAATATGTTGCTTGATCAAGGACAAGTACAATACAGGGTGCATATTTATTTTTCTGTGTTATAAAATTTACTTTTAGTTGCTCTTCTAGAAACTATTAGGTAATAAATGTGTATATACTGTATAATTTGCTATATACCCAGGAATCAGTTTAAGTTGGAGTTTTGTGTGTGATGCTTGCACATGTGTGCATTATCATTCTGCTTGCATTTTTAATAGTGTTTTAATTTTAGCAACATACAGGAACAAGTGTTCCACAGTGTAATATAAATAGGAGAAGTAGGGAAGCAGTAAAATGAAAATTTAACACAAGCTTGTGTCTTTCTTCCTCTCATGTGTCCAAAAGCTACTAAATCTCTTTATTCACTAACAGGAAATGTCTATAAGATTAAATCCCCTTTGGCTTTTTGAAAACACTTTGTGATATCTGTGACAATGCAGTTCTTCTAGCCATTAATCTTGCACCCCTGTAAGAAGTTTCACCTTTCTGAGTCCCAGAAAATATCTTGTCAAGCAAAGTTGACACCGAAGGGCACATTTTCAGCAGGATATAGAAGGATTTAACTGTGCAGGCTTCTGTTAATGTTGTTAAATCCAGGCACATAGCACTAAGCATTACCCCTAAGTGTTAATCCTTTGTAACAATTTCCCTTGTGGTTCAGCTTTAGAAATTTTGATACTAAGGCAGCGATGGAATGATGAAATATATATATATATATATATATAAATATACACATTATATTTATATATATATATTCCTTCAGAATTGTCTTTGTTTCAAAACTTAACAAGTTTTACCTGTTGATGGCTGTTTATTCATTTGGTAATTTCTTCTTGTATTCAGTTTCATCAAATTGAACTTATTTTGATAAACCAGTCCAAAGTATTATTTAGTTGGCCTTATTAAGGAATATAAGATATGTTCTATGTACATTCTATGTACCACACTTGGTGAAGACAGACATTTGTGTTATAAATTATATGGTTTATTAGAATTTGAACAAAACTGAGCTCCTTGGTGAAATAACAAAATTTTTATAGTATTACATTTTATAGAAACCATGGGATGACATGTGATTATTCAAGGAGTATTGCATTTGAACAAAATATAGCCTATTTATGTTATCAAGGGCAATAGTATATTGGAGTAGTCTGGATTAATGAAATCCATAGAAAATATACCTGCATGATAGTAATGGTATTCTGTCTTTTCCAAGCACTTGTTTTAGTTGAATATGAGCACATACAAGAATAAACCTTTAAGGAATAACTTCTTTCTACCTTGCCCACCTTTTACTTAAGCAGTAAGTTAACTCTGCTAAAGAACATGGCAAAAAAAAAAAAAAAAAAAAGGAAAAAGCAAAGGTTCTAAACAATTCTCAGATGGTATATTTAGTTCGGCCCAATTATGGCTATAATTACTTATTAGATTTATACTATACCATGGGTCCTAACAAAATACACTTCAAGTATACTTTAATAGATAAATGAAATTTGCAGAGAAAGTAGAAAAAGGTGGATTTAGCATTGTCTTGATAAAATCACAAGTGGGCATCACCATTATGAAAGATGCCTTTGTTCATTTCAAGAAACAAAATGAACTGAACTAATTCTTTCTGTACAAAGTAATTGGAGACATGTTGCACTTTACTGAATTCCGTAAAAAGAACTGAATTTAAGTCATAAACTAACAGTTGAGAACCTTCGGGGCGCCTGGGTGGCTCAGTTGGTTAAGCGACTGCCTTCAGCTCCGGTCATGATCTCAGGGTCCTGGGATCGAGCCCCGCATCGGGCTCCCTGCTCAGTGGGAAGCCTGCTTCTCTCTTTCCTACTCCCCCTGCTTGTGTTCCCTCTCTCGCTGTGCCTCTACCTCTCTGTCAAATAAATAAATAAAATCTTAAAAAAAAAAAACAGTTGAGAACCTTCAAAGCAGGAATAGACAGACATATTGATTTAAAATACAAACTATCATAAATGTTAGGACTAGCCACAATTATTTACACATAACAAAGATATTTTCTGAATGTCTTCTAAAAGTTATATGTTCAAAAATGATTGAGATGTCAGCACAGAGTATATCTAAGTGATTAGAATTTAAAGTTACAATGTAGATTTCCTCTTTTCACAAAAGAACAGTATAAATTAATATGGATCGATTCCTTTGCAATTCTGGTATTCCTTTGGGAAAGTAAATTGAGTTGAAAGTTAGACACATCGATTTCATCTACATCTCACTTTGGTTGAGAATTTCTAAGGCATGGCAATATGATTTTAAAAGAAATAAAGAGATTTTCAAATAAGATCTGCTCTCCCCCCACATTAAAAAAAAAAAAAAAGAGGAAAGAATTCCTTTCTAAAATATTTATTCACCACTAGATATGTCACCAATTGGGAAGTGCCAATCTCATCTATAAATGTGAGAAGTGGAACCAGGAGAGGAGGCAGCTCTTGTGAAATGCAGGGAGGCAGTAACCCAGGGCGAGGTTTGACAAATCTTGATTGTGTGATTTCTTATCCTTTTGGTTTATTTTGTCACCCACCAGACAACTAAAAATAAAACATAGATTCAATAATTTTAGCACATAAGATAGATTTGTCAAATAATACATAATGTTATTGTAACTATCAAGTAGCAATACCTTTAAAGCATGAGTCGTTCTCAATGTTGAACTTGGAAAATAGGAACAAGCAGGGAGTTTTTTTCAACTTACTGATACCTGTGGAAGTCACTCAGTTACTACTTTTACCAATCATAATTTGTTTCCTAATCTTCCCATTTGCTCACATGTTCTTGGCCATTGAAATATCTGAATTGTATGTAAAAATGTAAAGATTTTGCTTTTCCCATGTAAAAAAAAAATGTGCATGGTTTTTTATTTCTTCTCTTTTAATCACCAAATCAGTGTTCTAAAGTTGTAGGATTACTATAAAAATTATATTCCAATACTCTATCTAAACTTAAATGTGGCCAGCATTATTAGTTTCAGAGTTGTGAAAACAATACAGAACATCCTTCACTGAGTTTGTAAAGAATTTTAACCAGTGTGCAATGGTGAAGAGATAGTTTCACATCTTAGGCTTAAAATGAAAAATTAATATCTGTTGAACACTTATGTGTTTGCATGTCTGCTATTTAATCTCTATGTGAAAGTCAAAGATTTTTTTTAACACCATTATTTCTCCCATTTAAAGTGGGCTTGCAGAAGCACAAGTAGGAAAATTCACCTGTGGAAGACATTTTTGTTTGTAATGGTGCGTTGGATGGCAAATTTGTGTCAGATATTAGAAATTTACTAGATGTATGATGTTGCATAGTAGGATAAGGTCTTTTTCCCACTTTTTTCTTTCTAAAAATAAGAAGACAGAAAGCTAAATATGATAGTAAACTGTGTTTGCTTATGTCCTGCCAGATGTTTAAACTCAAAATAAATAAAAAGTAGGTACAATATGATGATGATGATGATGAATAAACAATCAGAATGCTAGTTTTATTTGAAATTAATAACTAGAATAAGTCATCATTTTTTCAACTCTGTAGCACAGCTGGTTACATTGAATATTTTTCTCTATTATGCTGTTAATTATATAGTAATGTATCAAAGGAGAAATAGATAAGAACTTTCTTTTCATGTTGGTTTATAAAAACATCTTTTTATACATAAATGATTGAATGTTCTTATTCAGAATGACCACAAAATTATTGCTTAGGAGAAGACACAATTCTTAAAAAAAGAGAGAGAGAGAGAATCTATTTATTATAATCAGAATCAAATGTCATTTGTTTCTTCTAAATGTAAATGAAAAAAATTGAAGGTGGCAAAATAAATCATGTTTATTCAGTCTGGGCTATATTAACAGTAGAGATTTTAGTGGTCAACATATTTGTGAATCTTTAGATTGCTATAGTTTTGCATTTAATAATTTTACAGTGTGTAAATTTCATTTATAATAGTCTGAGAATAAAACTTAGACTCAGTCATTTGTTAATATGTTTACTAAATTCTCTTAGAAGCAGCTGTATAGAGTATCTTATTCTAGGCTAGGCATCAGGATATCTCAAATCTGTGCCGAAGCATTAATTCAAGAAAGGATTAGTGTTTCTGTATTTTTCCCCCATTTGAAGCTCTCTGTGCATTTGGTTTGTGTATATGTTTTTGTAGTGTAAGATATGAAATTTTATATTTTTTCAGAAAATAAAAAACCCTTTGAATACAGTTAAATCCAATTGTCATGCTTGACCCTCCCCCAAAAGATTCTAAACTTACAGCCTTTGTATAATGATTTCAGTTAGTTTTAATAAAAATGTTTGAATTTCCTATGCTAAATATCTAAAATGCAATCAGCATTCATTTTCTTCAAAGACATATTCATGAATCTTTTTACTCAAGTATTTTTGCAACCAGAGTTTGACATAAGACTGTAGGACATGAGCATAATTGTGTGAAACCTAATTAGAAGTTGATTTGTGACAGTGTAATACAACATTACTTAAAAACAAAACAAAACAAAACACAAAACTGTGTGTATCATCTGCAAAAAGAGACTCTGCTCTCTAGCATTAGTTGATCATCTTCTCATTGCCCTGCATCTGCTTATGACATAGGGTGGAGGAGTTACATTCTTAAAAGAAAGGTGTCAGTAAGTACAAATGCTCCCTCTTTTTCTGTATATATTATATCATATTGGTCTCCTTTTGTAAAAAGCATACCAAACAATCTGCTGTATTCAAGGAAATTAATCATATTTGTAAATTTTTGTATTTACATTCGTGAAAAGTGACACCACCATGCCTATGGAAATAATCTTTAACTCCTTTGTCTATACATAGAGTCAGTATTAGAAGGTATAACATTTACTATTTTAGTAAATAGCCTCATGTAAAGACTCTGAGCGCTTTGTTACCAAATAGACTATTCTTGCCTCTGCTTTGCTGCAAATGTAAAGATCTAATGATAAAAGGGATTTTTTTCTCCCAATCCTAAGACATTCTTGATCAGGTAGGAGGGATGGAGAGGTGGTGGGAGGTAAATGTTTAATAAGAAGGCACTATTCTCTATTAGAATTTTCCACACATACCTTTAAGATAATTTTATTGTCTCCACTTTACTGATGAGGAAACCATGACCCAAAGCTGTTTAGAAATTGCCCAAGTCCTGACTGCTCTTCAAAGGCAGGGTGAAAACCACATTCATTTGAAACCAAACCAAAATGTTGCCCATGCTATCTAGATGATGGAATCATTTAGGCCAATCTCCTGATTTAATTGGTGGAAGAACTGACGTTTAGCAAGAAAGAAATTATCTGAACATTTCCACAAAGTGAAGTGTAACCCTTGGTTGGGAACCAGGATCTGAGTGATTACATTTCTAACATATTTGATTTTTAGAGTAAGCCAAACCTTGGAAGTCAAAAATAGTTTTTCTTATTTGTAATTCTTCCACTGAGTAGGAGCACAATTTAATTCAGTGTATCTTTCTAGTACAGGCATAGTTTTCTCAACTACAAGTACAGAAAATGGCAATACATATTTATTATTTATTTACAGCTATAATATCTGAACTTTGCTTGTGGAACTTTGAGGCCTACAAGTGATTCATGACCAAATTGTTACCAAAAGTAAAACATATTGATACTTATTAAAATTCAGAGTAGCCATTTAAATCAAGTAGAGTTTTATATAAAATATTAAATGTCATTTTACTTGAATTAGTAGGCTAAAATAATAAATTGGAATAAGGCTGGCAGAAATATTGAACTATAGATAATATTTTTTCATAGCAAGAGCTATTAGTTCTTAAATCGTCCCCCTAATTTTTTAAAGTTGATAATGAAAAATATTAATATGTTGAGATTATTAATTTCAAAGATTCTTAGTGATCCTGTTTTCAGAAATTAAAAATTTGTATCCAATCCCCACAACAGTCCTTTAAGTGAGATATTTATTCTGTTTTTCTTTTGAAAAAAGGTAGAAATCAAGGCTATGCAAGGCTAAGTGACTAAGTGACTTTCTTCAGATCTCTTTTAAAGTTAATCCTCTGCCTCTGAGTTCCAGATGATGCTCTCCTACCTGCTTTAAAATCTGTTCCATCAATTGCACCTGGTCTTGAATGTCTTCGCCTATCAGTCTCCGTGGTTCCCTCACCTAGCCTCTACATGTACGTGAGGGGTCTATACGGTGTGCTTGTCTGGGGCATGTCAAAGCCTGCTCTGTCACTCGCTAGTTGTTTGAACTCAAGCGAGCCATTTAACCTCCCTGTTTTCAAGTATCTCATTTATTAAATGAGGAAATCTTTTGACTATTTTGAGAATCTAAGAATACATATACAGCTAGTAAAAATAGTGCTGACCACATAATAACTGTTTAGTAAGTGTTATTTATCTTTATATATCTTCTTCACTGAAATCTTTTTCCTCACTGAAATCTTTGTTCTCACTCTATAAATGTATTCAAAACTTCCAAACACATATAAAATTTGATAAAATTTTAATAAATTCCCTTGTAAATATAAGCCAGCTTCAACAATTATCAACTTAATGCCAATTTTGCTTTGTACATAACTTCAGTGACTCTCCTCTGCCAGATTTAAAAAAAAAAAGCCCAGACATTTTATCATTTCATAAATAAATACTTCAGTGTATATTTTCAAAATAGAGAGATTATTTTTAATATAATCATAATACTATTAAACTATCTAAAAATTCACAGTCTTTCAAAATATTTCCAAATATCCAATTGGCATTCCCTTGTTTTAGCATACATTTTTTTTATAGTTCCCTTGAATCAATATCCAAATGTTCCCTTTATTTCCTATAAATTGGCAATTAGACTCACAGATTCAGGTGCATCAGATTCAGGTTTCATTTTTTTCAAGAAGACACAAGTACTGTGTATTTGCATCAGTGCACACTCAATGTAAGCTATCTTTCTATGATGTCAACAGTAATTGGGCATCATTGCCAAATTATTATTCATTAATAATTTTGAAATGATTTTCATCATTCTTTTTTCATCTAATTGCCACACTACTTTTATAAAGACTAATTTCCATTTATCAACTATTTAGTTACTCGGAGATGGAGTTTATACAGGCAAAGCAGAGAAGTTGATTGGTGTTATTTTTTTTCTGTCTTTATTTAAAAGTGGTCCCAGGCTCAAATATCCCCTCTTCTTAATTGTTAATATCTTCTTAACAACATTAAGAAGGTCACCCTTAAATATTCCCCCTTTCTTGGTATCCAAGAACTCAATCTTTTCTGCTTTGCCTGCATTTCCAGCAATTTATTCTCAGTTAATTCCACTAACTTTTATTATTCTGCCATTCTTTTAAATGCTGAAATTCCAGGACTGTGTTTTTAGTACTCTTCCCATTCCATACTATATGCTTGCCCTTAAAAATTGCATCAACCCACAAGTCTTCAATTTTAACATATATGGGAATGGATTTTTATACTGAATCTCCAGTGCTGATATTTCTCCAAAGATAGAACTCCATGTATATAAATTTATACTGAAGATCTCTAATTGACTTTTAAAATGAGCATATCTCAGTTGACCTTACCTTCAACACGACTTATACCTTCTTCCATAGTCCCACTAGAAGATACTACTTTATATAGAGTTAACAAAGATAGATTTCCAAAATTTATATTTTAAATTCCCTTTTCCCTCAGCATCATGTGAAATTGTCATAAGATTTTATTAGTTTCACGTTAAATGTGTTTCTCATACATATTACTAGCAGATGTAGAAAAATAAGCAAAAGTCAAAGGTAACACTAAGTAGGAAACATAGCTTAGAAAATTTAATATATCACCCAAAATCAAAAGGACACTCTTGCTTGGTACTTTATTTTATGCACTTTTATGATGGGAATTAAATGGGAATCTTACACCTTTGAGCAATCAATTATAAACAGTAAACAGCAATTTTATCCAAAATTTTTCCACTATTATAATTTTGGATCATGAAATTAGAAAAAAAAAATCTGGAAAGTATCAGACTGACTTTTCCTTTGTCCAAATAGGTATGCCCTATAGAGAAGGTGCTCTGAACCATGTCAGCAAATAAATTGACTTGGATTACGCTGAAAAATTTTTTTTAAAGATAATAAAAATTTAGTCACAGTCATTTGAAAGGATAATCCTTGAAGGGTTTCCACTCTGATAGAAGGATAAAGTAAAATGATTTACTGCATGTTCCCTGGAGTGGTAACAGCCCTAACCATACGAGTTATGGAAGTCAGGCCAAACAACAAATGTTTTTCAATCATTCCTTTTTTTCTCTACAAATATGTGAAATCAACTATAATGGATATTAATATCAAATAAAATATTTCGGAATGTGCAATCTAAGTGTGTTTTCAGGTGAAGTATATTGTAGACTTCTCAGTTCTTTGCTTTGCTCATGCTGAAGAAGGCACCAGAAGTTATGATCTGATTTTTGTGTAAAGCCCAAGTCTTTCTCAGGATTTTCTGAAAGTTCCCCATGTTTAATCATGGGCTGTTCCTTTATGTCCTGTCAAAGCACATGGTCATAATACAGAAGAAACTTCCAAAAAATAAATGCTCCTTTGTGCTTTATAAAAAAGTGGTTCAAAAGTCAAAGTCATTCATATAGGCTTTGAAAACGTTGCTTATATTATCCTCCATTGGAGCTTCACAAAACATTCTAGAAATACAAAGACTCACCTAAGTTTAATTTAATGATTCCCCGGATATTTGGCTTATAGTAGTTGTTACTACTACCGCATGGTAATTCTAAGAGTAGATTATCATCCAGGTGAACACTTCTCAAGTTAATCACAAGAACGTTATATTTTCTCAGCCAGTGCTACTCTGGGGAAGCATTAATGAGAAGGTATCCATTCTGAGTTGTATGTGTATTAGTGCAATGTATCTGCATAACGTTTCATCCAAACTTATGCCTGCTTTTCCTGGAGATCAATGCCATAGTGAAATTATGATGTAGTTGGGGAGTGGCATAGGCTCTAAAACATATAAAACTAATTAGTCGACTTTACTTACTTCAAAATATGTACTGTATTTCATTAATTTCTGATACTTAGGATGTGGTCTTGAAATAAGAGGTTACTGAATAAAATATTAAAACAAAAATTGAACCATGACCTTGGTCTTATACTCTTATTACCCTGGCAAAAGTGTCATTTAATATTAAAAATTATAGAAATTTTCAAATATTCTATGCCAAGGAAGACAATAGGCTTAGGGAAGAGAGTTTGTCTGAGAAAAAAGAAATGGGCAACAAAAGACTGTTGATAGAATGAGTGTCTTAGTAGAAATGAGTGCATCCCACTACACATCAACCCTAAGGGACTGAAGAAAAAGACTGAGCTGGAAACAAGACTGAAAATTGAGAAAGCATCTCACACACACACACACACACACACACATTTTGTTAAACTTGAAAAAGGATGTTATGTGGGAAAAAGAGAGGTATAAAATAATAGAAGTACAAACAGGTATCCCCCGCTTTCTGAAAGTCCACCTTATACCATTTCCCATTTATGAAAGATCTACATTAATACAGGCGATGCTTTTCTTCATAAAAGCGAAAATCCTCTTCAGATTTCTCTCAGTTCACAAAAATAGGTAGTGCTAATATCAGTCTTTGGTAAAAGTGAAGTGGTGTATTGCAAAATTTTGGAAAGCAGAGTACAGTGGCTTTAGGTCATTTCAGCTTACAAAAAATTTCATAGGAATACTCTACTTCTGGATAGTGGGGGAAATCTGTATGGATAGGACTCATAAAATCAGGAAATATAAAAAACAAAGAAAATACATATGGAAATTTTACATAGATATTTCTGGACAAATTATCCATAACCAAAAGTTGAAGCAAGCATTATTAACCTTTTAAAGTGTTATTTAGTACCCTTAGATGATAGCCTTTGGGAACTGGGGAACTCTGTAAAACTTCAGAATTAGCCTATGTATATTTTGGAAGGAGAATTCTCATACTCGTTCTTGAATTCTCAAAGGATTCCAGACCACAAAATATTAAAAAATCCTGACAAAGTAATAATGGAATATTCTCTAGTCAGTGATTTCTTATATCTGCAAGGAACCAATTTGTATTAGGTCTCTCCTACTATTTCCACTTATTTCTCCAAAGTTTAATCTAAGTCCTAGGGAGTCATTCTGAGATACACTCCCAGGAGATTAACTTATTTGTATCTCAAAGCCAGTAGATAGAAGATATTGATAGTAATAGCTTCATAAGCAGTGGGACCTAAAGATAACATAATGTGACTTCTATTCTTCAATGAACTGAGTAGAAAACTATACTAACACTAAACAAATTCTATGTAGCTAAAGCAATGATATTATCATACAGAGAACAATTTTAAAAAATAGTAAGAAGTCACCTAATTACTAAATTAATATGGATGTGGAATATAATAGGTTTGTTTCCAAAACAGGATTTTTAGCACAAGTTTTATTGTGTTAAACCTAGACTAGTGTTGATATTTTGGCTGATCAGACAAGTTTTAATGGTCTATATAGATCCCTTCTCCAACACTTATTTATTTATCTTCTCATTTGTTTAAATACTTATTATGTTAGATACTCAAGATCCAGACCATGAATACTGGTGTCCTGGAGATGTGGTTCAAATTCTTGCTCTTCCACTCACTAGCTGTGTGACTCTGGGAAAGTTAGTTTTCATCTCTATGCTTCCGCCT